GAATATCACATGGGAGTAATAAATGTGAGCAATAGTCAAAATGAACCAATCATATCCATAGATTGATATCACATGATATGGAGACATAGAAAAATATCACATGGGAGTAATAAATGTGAGCAATAGTCAAAATGAACCAATCATATCCATAGATTGATATCACATGATATGGAGACATAGAAAAATATCACATGGGAGTAATAAATGAAATATGTTTGAGCAATAGTCACAATGAACCAATCATATCCATAGATTGATATCACATGATATGGAGACATAGAAAAATATCACATGGAAGTAATAAATGAAATATGTTTGAGCAATAGTCAAAATGAACCAATCATATTCATAGATTGATATCACATGATATGGAGACATAGAAAAATATCACATGGGAGTAATGAATGAAATAAACATGATTATAATAATTAAAAACGCTCAAAGCACCAATATAAAAAATGCAGCTCATCAGTACAAAAATAGTACAAATATATACATACAATATCTTTTGTATATTAAAAACCCAAATTATATATTTGAAGTTTTCATGTCCACAGGATTGTAAGGGGGTGGGAGCCTGTAGTTTGGTGGTGGTCTACCATAGTCTGGCTGATGGGAATATGCCGGTGGTGATGGGGGTAATGCTCCTTCTGTTGGGTAATTTGGGTATTCACCCATATTGTCTGGGTAATCTGGGTATCCTCCCATATTGTCTGGGTAGGGAGGCAGTCTGTATGGAGGAGGGGAAGGTGGTCTGATGTCCTGTATTTCTGGTGGGGGTGGGGGTACTGGTTTGGAAGGCTGTGTCTGCTGGAATGGAGAAATGTCACTTCTTAAAATAGCTGGCTGGACAGGTTTCAGTTTTTGTTTAACTTTACGTTCATCAGGCAGTATAATGGGTCTCCTATCCTTTGTGTACATTGGTTTTTCTACTCTAAGTAAAAACTTGGTACCTGGTCTCTTCCTTCTGTACACTATGCAGACAACACAGCCAAGTAGAAGAAGAACGATAGCAAAGATAAGAGCTGGAATCACTGCTTTCTCCCACGTCTCTCTTTCAGATATAACCGGCTGGACAATTACAACGGCCTGAGTTGTCTGTGAAGGAATTGTAACTGGTCCACATATACCAGTAAGTTGTCTCTGTGCAGTGTCAGCGAGAAACTGTGGTTGCATAGCTTGTTGAAAGGATGCTTGTATCACGCCTGCGTCGTCAGCAAGTTTAGCATATAATGCATCAATGACGATTAGATCGCATTTATCAGTTGGTAAACTATTATTAGAATACACCCACACAACAGATCCTTTACTTATTGAGTCAACTGTAATAGATTTAGCATCACTCTCTTCATAATAATCGGTTATTTTCGTTGCTAAATCATATCGATTCTGACCACTGGACATGAACTCAGTAAAGTCGTTTTTGAAAGTTATAACAAACTGATGTGAAAACACAGTTACAGAAGGCTGTAAAATAAATTGCATGGCATCACGAGTGTTCAGACCTGATGAATCCCACGCTATAAGCAAATATTCCAATGGTTTTACAGTATAATCTTCTATCAATGGTATTCCATATATCATCTGTTTAACGCTATCAAACTGTCCCAGGATGAGAGTGGTAACGTCTGTCCAGATATCGTTCGCAATTCTAGCTGTAGGTAGCGAGTGTTACCATCTTCGTAGTCGTAGAATGTATCGGGAGGTATAGTATATTGCAACACATTGCCAACTAGGATGGTTATTTGGTCTATGTGATTGATCAGCATAGGATTGGTATTCACGATCGCTGCAAAGAGTTCAGAAAATATTGATTAGTATATTTATACAGTTGTACAAAAGAGCTACACAAATATAATTCCATTTATTATCAGCAACATTTATCATCACAGATAACTATAAATATATTAATAATTTCAGCTACCACAACATTATTTTATAATTTTGATTAACTAATAAATAATGATTATCCTAAAAAATACTACTAAAATGTAATCTTTTTGCTGGTGTGTATATTTAAAGGTAGCATTTGTTGGTTGACATATCCTATCACTATTGAAGATGAATTTGTAAGGCATGTGTGTAACTCACCTGTAGTGGGTGTAATACTGCTTGCAACCAAAATACTTGATACTGTTGGTGATGGTGATATTGTCAGAGATTGTAGGATACTTGAACTTGCAGTGAATAGTGATGAACTGTCCAATGTTGTGAAGAGACTACCAGCTACTGATGTTGGAGCTAGAGAACTTGACAATGCTATCATAACTTGATGTCAACTGCAAAGCAGGAGTGCTTGTTGTAACTGACACTGTAGACATTGGAGAAATACAAGGTCCAAACACATGCAGTGATACTTCTTGAACTATGAAGTCTGGCAGCAGTGCATGTTCAAACTTCTTTTCAGTGGTGCTTTCATTGTACACCATTTCGTTATAGATATTCATTATTTCATCTCTTTCACATATAGTTGGATTCAGTGTACCATTGTGAAAAACAAAAATAGTAGCATCCGAGAGAACATAACTTTCTGAAACACCATCAACAACAATATTCTCCACATCCGTATCATTATAATAACTTAATATTTCTGTTGCTAATGTGTACCTATTGGCACCTTGCTTCATAAACATTGGATATGTGAAGAGAAGAGAAAGGAAAAAATTGGTGACTTAATGTCTCATTTGGTGGTCTTGCATTTACGATCACTTTCACTCCAGTTTCAGTAGTCAGTCCTGATGAATCTGAAGCAACCACACGGTACTCCCATGGAGACAGAGCTAAATCATCTTGTAGAGGTATCCCGTATAAAGTTTGTGAGTTTTCATCAAACTGTATCCATGAACCAGATGGTAGTTTTAATCCACTTGTTGTCATTACATAGAGATTCAATCTGTCTGTTAAACCTTCCTCAGCATCATAAAATGTTCCTAGTGGTATCTTGAATTCCAGGATGTTGCCGACAGTGATTTCCACATTACTCAGTGGATAAAGAACAACGGGTGGTTGATTGATTGGTTCTGAAAAAAAAGAGTAAAGTTGCATAATCATAACCATGATCCTTTTTTGGTTCTGGAATTACCTATACTACTAAAACCACTACTGCTAATATTTTGACTTTGTACTAGAAGTTACTTATTTATTTGTATATACCAGCAATATAAACACTATATACATGGTAGATTTTAAAATATGACATATTTGCTCTATGAATGAATGCACTTATGTTAAAGCCCTGTTTTAGAGTTAGCATTAACAAAAGTATGGGTATAGGCACTTCTATTGGATATCATATGAAATTATAATACAGCAAATATGGTAATTAAACTGTTTTTTAAACAAAAACGACCAACTGGTAATTAGTCTTTTATAATATACATTGCCATATGTTTCATATTTTTTATTCTAACAATCCTTGTTTTGGTACATTAATTTCTACCCAGATAATGTACATTTACATAGAAAATGGGAGATAGAAATTCATGTTTGAACTTTTTGGCTCAATGCAGTATAAAAAAAAAAACTGATGATGTGAAATGAAATGCATGATTACCTTGAGTTGTATAAATAAGACTACTTGATGGTGCTACCAGACTGCTACTGGAGACTGATGGTTTCACTGAAGTACTTGTCATAATGGATGAACTCAGTAATGGTGTCGAACTCAATACAGGTGTTGGTGTGCTGGATAATGGAAGGGTGCTGGATAATGCAAGGGTGCTGGAGAAAATTGGTGTTGGCGTGAGTACTGGAGGATACGAGGTTGTCACTTCGCTTATTACTGAAGATGAAGGCAGTAGAGAAGATGTTGGTGTAGGGGAAGGTGATGGTGAAGGGGAGGGTGTTGGTGTTGGTGATGGTGAAGGGGAGGGTGATGGTGATGGTGAAGGGGAGGGTGATGGTGAAGGGGAGGGTGATGGTGATGGTGATGGAAAGGAAGAAGGGGAGGGAGAAGGGGAGGGTGATGGTAAAATAACAATACTTGAGCTGGTTTTGGTCAATGATGAGGTTGGCACAGATGATACTGGAGTAGATGTTACCTGCACTGAGCTGGTAGAGGGAACTAATGAACTTGACACTGGTATTGATGTAAACACTACAGTGGAGAAAGGAGTTGGAGAAGGAAGTACAGATGAAGTTTCAGTGACTGAAGCAGTTAATTCCACTGTAGACGAGGATGGTGTAGAAGATAAAACTACAAGAGTTGAAGAGATTATACTAGAGCTGGTGACCACTGCTGCTGATGATGTTACAATGGGCTCCATAGAAGATGTGACAGGCAGAATTTGGGTTGTTTCAGGAGATGGAATTGATCTTGTCAGGGTTATAGTTTCAGTTACAGTGCTACTAGTATATGCTGGACTTGACACTGTTGGACTTGATATAAGTGTAATTGTACTTGACGACAGCATAGCTGATGGCAGAGTACTGGTCACTGTAGGGGTTGGTACAGGAGTACCATATATGCCTGCTTGGATCTGTCGTTTTCTCCTCACAGCTGCACTATCAGTTGACTTTCGCATTGAAACATGCCAGCCAATCACTGGTAAACCAGTCACATCAGTAAGTCTTCCACTTTTGGCATTATGCTCAATAACCATTGAGAAATCATTGATTTTTTTAAACAAGCCACAGCTAAGTTGCCATGAGATCTCCACACCCCAGGCATTCTGTATAACATTAGCTGGATCAGCATTTCCAGGTCCTGCTGCTAAGATAGCGGTATCAAGTAGATGCCCAATAACAGTACTTCTCCTAGTGGATAAAGTTATATCATTCACATCTAAGGCTAAAAAGTCAGCAAAGTCTGTCATGAGTTGCATCCTCTGTTTGCCATCCATGAGATTTACATCACAGTCTAATATCACTGTTGCAAGTGTCTTAGCTTCACCTGCGTCACATTGTTTTACAGTTCTCTTATCTTCATTCCTTCCTTTTACATTGTCTTTCAATGGTTGTACTTTCACAGGATTCAAAGGTGATTCGCCAAATGTCAATGAGTTCATCTCATCATACAATCTGACATCAAGCAAGAACACATCGCTGGCACTTGATGTACAGTTATCGTCATCTGTAATCAATGCTGTGACACAAATGTAGGTAAAGCCATCATCCTGCACCAAGGGAACACCATACAGAGTATTGGTTTTATTATCAAATCCTAACCATTGGGGTAATTTATCGCTACCTGCCTCAGTTACCTGGAAAGAACATCAAATGTTATAAGTATACAAGCCTTTCAATATTTTATAGAGTAAAATACAACTAATGAATTGACGATGTTAATATTCTGTGTTAGGAGCACAAGCAGATTTGAACAGAACCAATAGGGATGATAGGCTGATGATCCTGCAACATCTGAACATACATGGAATGGCAGAACAGAACAAGCTTGTATTAGTACAAGCTTGCCAGATTGACATAACTTCTATTTGTATAATTATAAATTTCTAATTGCATCTAAATTATAATAACGAAAATGCATTAAATATTTTTAGTACTGTGTAAGCTCAATGTGTCAAGATTGTGTTCCTCAATTAATACTACATGTACTGTATTAATCTCAATGTCCCTTATAGATCTTGGAGAGCATATCATTAACATCTAGCTCTCATTATTAGCAGTATAAATGTCTCTATGCTGTCTGCTTATTTCTACCTCTAATAAATGTTTTATTTCAGCCAAATTATACTCAATATCATGAAAATTGTACTTGATAGTTACACAAAAATTGAACTTGGGGTGACATCTCATAGTGATTCTTAATTTTGAAGATGATCAGATAAAAATTCTTATTGTAACCAGGAGGACAGACATCTTCTTCACATACCTTACCCTTCATGATACTGGCAGGGTAGTAAAAAAATCAAAGAAGAAAAATAAAGAGGCACCAAAAATAATGAAAAGGGGAAAGAAAATGAAAACAGATCTTATTTTAATCAGATTGTAAATGTGCTGGCACTAAAACTTTAAAATAGATTGCAAACTAAATTTAAATGACAATCAAAGAAAGCTTAGAAAGAACTTCCGTGTGCTGAGAGTTTTGGAGACACATTAAAAATTAATTCAAAATTACTTATAGTTGAGATATTGATGGAATAGCTGAAAACTAATTATGCAAATAAGGTAACTAATATGAACAGATTTAAGTGTAAAACTAATAAGGTCTGCACAATGTACCAAGTTTCATTGAAATGTGATTAGAACCAAAAAAATATTAATTATTATACTAATTAGAGAATTAATATGAACAGATTTTAACCCAAAATTAATCAGACTGTCTATTGTCCTAGAGCATTTATGTACCAAGTTTTATTCAAATGTGATGATCATTACTTGAGATATCAGTATTAATTAATTATGTTAGCTAGGTGATTAAGAAGCATAAATATTTACCAAAAACTAATATGGTGCATAGTCTTAGGTTCATTGAAATGTGATGGGTACTCTTTAAAAGTTTCATTGAAATCCAATGAGTAGTTTTTAGACATCATAGTAGTTTAGTACAGCAAAAAATTAACTGGTTATGCAAATTAGGTAATTAATAGGCACAATTATTTATCCCAAAATTAATCAGGTCTCTGCATAGTCCTAGAATATCTGTGTCGCAAGTCTCATTGAAATGTGATGATTAGTACTTGAGATATCAGGTGAAAAGCTGAAAATTAACTAATTATGCTAATAAGGTGATTAATATGCACAAATATTTACCCAAAAACTAATTAGGTCTCTGCACAGTCCTCAAGTAACTATGTACCAAGTTTCATTGAAATGTGATCATTACTACTCGAAATATCAAAAGCTGAAAATTAATTAATTATGCAAATTAGGTAATTAATATGTACTGATATTACCCTAAAAACTATCAGGTATGTGCAGTGTCCCAAGTTTTATTGAAATGTTACGATTAGTAGTGTACTTGAGATATCAGTAGAAAAGCCGAAAATTGATTAATCATTATGTAAATTAGGTAATTAATAATATTAACAGATTTTTACCCAAAACTAATCAAATCTGCGCATTAGTTCAGAGCATCCATGTGCCAAG